TTTAGGAGTTATTTTTTTTTTTTTTTTTTTTCATGTGCTTGATGTGTATTGAATGTACTCGTGGAATCTGAGCTTAATAAACAGCGCTGGGTAATTTTGAGCTTTGGATGCTCTGTTTCTGTCCTTAATTTAAGGGATTTTATCTCAATCTTTTGCAGCTGACAGTAGCAAAAAGGCTGATCCCAAGGCTCAAGCCTTGAAGACTGCCAAGGCAGTGAAGTCTGGTCCAACATTCAAGAAGAAGGCTAAGAAGATTAGAACATCAGTCACATTCCATAGGCCAAAGACATTGAAGAAGGATAGGAATCCTAAGTATCCCAGGATCAGTGCAACTCCAAGGAACAAGTTGGACCAGTATCAAATTCTCAAATATCCACTGACCACAGAATCTGCAATGAAGAAAATTGAGGATAATAACACCCTTGTTTTTATTGTTGACATTCGTGCCGACAAGAAAAAGATTAAGGATGCCGTGAAGAAGATGTATGACATTCAGACCAAGAAAGTGAACACTTTAATCAGGTATACATTGTTCATAAATTTCTATTTTAAAGTGTTCATCATCAGCTATAATCTAATGGTTGTTGGGGCCTGATTGTGCTTATCATTTGACTTCCATCTTCAATCCATGTACCAATTCTCTATTATTGATCCATTATGATGATGAATTATTGGATGCCCTAATGCATGATCCTACATTCTTCCTGGTACATAGGCCGGACGGAACGAAGAAGGCGTATGTTAGGTTAACTCCAGATTATGATGCTCTGGATGTGGCGAACAAGATTGGTATCATATAAACTGCAGAGCTTGAAGCTGCTAGTATTTTCATTGCAATTGTTACATGTTTAAATTTTGGAGAGCATTTTGCAGTAGGACCCACCCAAGTTTTATTTAGCTTTTTTTTAGTATGTATTGGTATTCGTTTGCTCAGAATACATGGAATGATGGATTTTTAATTCCGATAATTTTCTTTTTAGTTTGCTTCAGACTCCATTATGCCATTACTGAATTTTGGTCTTCACAGCTTCTTTTTGGTTTCTTAATTTATGGTATGCAAGTCTTTGGGGATCGGCATGTCCTATTAATACCATAATATTAACATTATTCTAATTGTAGTAGGTCACCCTCTAAGTTGGTTGGCTTCTTCCTTGAATGGAGCATTGTAAAATAATTTTCAGGGAACTAGTTTTTGTATCAGAGACCTTGCATTTTTTGAGAATTATATTTGGTTATGTTAAGTTAAATAATATAATGTAGAGGGAAATTAATTTTTACCATAAACTTTTAATTTCATCTTATTTTCTATGGTAGGAAAGATGTATGAAAACACATTCTTATGCATTTAGTAGATATTGACTGCTTTAACTTGTTATGAAT